TGTATATATGGACCCTCTGGGTAATGTATGGACACGTCCTCAGTTAAGGGAAGTTGGAATCTCTGGAAAGGCACCCCGTGCGGCTAGTCTCCTGTTTGCCCCTTGCCAAGTTTCCACATTCTCAACCTCAAGACACTCTGAGCACTAACCCGTCATCTCCCGGCAGCAACTATCAGTAACAGTATCCCACTGTCGTCCCATATACTTATGCTATAAGACACCATGCAACCCTGTCTAAGCTCGGAACCATGGGCGGTTAAGCCTGGGCAGCCATGATTGAGGATTAGGATAGGGGGACCCCTAACACATGACCGAAGCGCAAGTAGTAGAATCCTTTCTAGAAGGACGCTCAGAAAAGGCATGTGCTGCGTTAAGAAGCCATTCATGTGCGGATTCCGGTGTATTCGGGTTTAGGGTTTAGGGGGGTTTAGGGTTCATATGTTCATATTGCACTTTGGAGGAGCCGCCTTCGATGATGGGACACCCTCGGAGGCCCCGCTGGAAGCTGCCTCTCCTTTTCGAAGGGAGATCGGGGAAAGAAGGTCCCAGTCACAAGGGTGCCACCATGTGTCACCCTAAGGGTCCATATATATTACCATTATGGAATTAGGTCCCCAAAACCCTAATATGAATGGTCTTTTGGGACCCAATTCCATAATGGTAGTATATATGAACCCTCTGGGTCATAGTAGGGTTTCAAAATGTGATCTTGCCTGGTCTTACAGTGGTGTGCAAGGTCTCACTCTTCTGATAATGAACCCTAGACGGACCCTAAACTCGAGAACCTTCGCTGGCATGCATGTGGATTCCTACTTTCAAGACTGTTGAGCCGAGGACGCAAAGTGAGCCAACGGATGAAAGAACAAGTGAAAGGTTTATATTCTGGTGCCGATACCTTAAATCCTACAGCATTAACCCAATCTTGTGCCTTAACCCTACACCCACGAAGCCTCCCCTCCAAACCTCCCAAACCCCTAAACCCCAAACTGTAATTCCACACACCCTAAACCCCAAACCCTAAGCCAGTAAACTGTGGTGCCAGGCCTCGTTCAGCGCGAGGAGCCACAGCCGGCGATTGTCGGAGGCGCCGTACTTCGAGCGTTCTATATAATTAATAAGAGGCTGTGCTTATATTGGAAGGTTTATGTAGAGTTTCCTCATGGCTCCTTAAAGACTTCTGTATCTGGGGAGGTTTATGTAGGGTTTACAACGGGTTATGGCTTGCAGGGTTTAGGGGTTCCGGACCTACTAGGTTTAAGTACCCAAAAGTAGTGCTTTCTGAGGTCAATTACCCTAAGGGTCCATATATACTACCATTATGGAATTGGGTCCCCAAAACCCTAATATGAATGGTCTTTTGGGACCCAATTCCATAATGGTAGTATACATGGATTCTCTGGGTTACTAATTATAAGGTTAGAAGGGCTTCAACAGGAGATGCCGGGTCCCAAATACACAAATGTCAGGGCTTCGGGCCCAAATACTTGCATGGTTCGTTAGACCTGGAGCCCTCCTGTTTAGGTTAGGTCGGTTACCTATAGTCTCCATTGTAGTTCCGTTTGTTTAGGGTTGTAGTGGGTGTAGGATTTATAGGGCTTAGCGGGGGTGACCTCATGGTATAATATAAATGGTTAACCCAGAGGGTCCATATATACTACCATTATGGAATTGGGTCCCAAAAGACCATTCATATTAGTTTTGGGGACCTAATTCCATAATGGTAGTATATATGGACCCTTAGGGTTAATTAAGCCAGGTACCAACTATGCTCTGAGTGGGTCGCACAGGGGCAGGCGGCGCGCGCGTGCGCATTCGTAACTGCGAGCGTAGTCGCCAGCCGGATACCGAATATAGAAGCCTATCATGGCCCATATTGTGCCTTAGGGCTCCTTATATTGTAAAATGCTATAAGGAAAACCCATGGCCCAAAACCCCAATAAAAATACGAAGGCCCCTACCTCGTATTCCAGCCCGACGAGGCTTATTATGTAGGCCTGGGGAAAGGCGGGGAATGCCCCCCTTCGATAGAGTGTAGCAGGAGTTTGGGTTTAGGGTTTATAGGGGTTGGGTGTTTAGGGTTTCGGGCGTAGGGATCAGTTAGGGTTTGAATTTATGTTTTAGGGCTCAGTTGCGAAGCCCTGTAAAGCCTGAATGCTAAATTTAAATCACCCTACACCCAAAAAAACCTAAACCCTAAACCCACATCCCAAGCCTCGATTTAGGTGACAGGGCGTGGGCTGAAGGTTCTTGCCTGCTGGGATCCTTGGGTTTGCCAGTTCATTCCAGGTGGCATTAGGGTTTAGGGGTTTAGGGTTTAGGGTTTAGGGTTTAGGGTTTAGGGTTTAGGGTTTAGGGTTAGGGTTTAGGGCTCAGGCTTAGGGCCAATCCATCCTAGAGACCCAGTAAAGGGCACTGGGCACCCTTCTTAACCCTAGTTATGGGTCTCTCAAAAGGGACCCTATTGAGAGGGTCTAGATCCCCAAGAGTCTCCCTAATCCTAACTCCTAATTCAAGGGTGTAATATCGGTTTACAGGTTTGTGTAGACTTGGTATATTTGCGGTTATCGGGTCCAAGAAGATCTCATTGAGCATGTCCTGGAGATTGGCAAGACAGAGCCTGCCCATGAAATTCGATAGGTGCTCAAGCTAGGGATTCTGCGGGGGGGGGGGGGGGGGGNNGTGTAAGAACACTATACCTCAAGCCGAATACCTTTGCGCAAGGG